ACAATTATTCATACTAGTGACGCAAATTATGTTCCTCCTTTATAATTAACACAATTATAAAAATGGGCAAAGAATGCAGACGATCACGATCCTAACGTAGTCAGCCATTTTGATTTTGTCAAGATTGTCAAGATGCGCGCGCAGAGAAGGACAGGTTGCCCCGATATTTTGCCTCTCGCACCGTTCTGCCAAACCCAGCATATACTATAGATGCTGGGTCTATCTTATATGTAACTAGAACTAAGGAGGATCAATTCGTGTGGTGGGGGTGAGTCAAAAAACGTCCGCAGTTATTCACACAATGTGCAGCGGCACTGCGCATTGTGTGAAAGTTCGATATAAGAGCGACAAAGTGACTATTATAGAACGACAGAGCGACGACTATAGGTGCGTTCGGCATTGCAAATCGGAGGCATCCGTTTGCTCTTTCACCTCGCAAATCGTTCGGCAACTCGTATCTTTCTGCTACATGTCATCTCATCTGCGTTCGATATTAACATTTCTAGAGCTAATCGAGCTCCTCAATCCACTCTGGATTCAAAGATCGAGCTCGTGGAGCTAATGCAAGTTTTCACGCCTAAATTGAATTCATAACCTTTTCAGAGGTCCTGGGAATCGATTGTGTATCTTGAAATGAAGTGAAAATTACAAAAGTGAGCAAATTCACTAGTTATTGATTAATTAAATGATGAATATTCTATTGAATTTGCTCACTTTTGTAATTTTCACCTCATTTCGAGTTACACAATCGACCCCCTGGTCGGTGCACGCGTTCGCTAAGTTTCACCCGAATCTCTTCCACGCAGTTGAAATAGGTTACTCATAAGTAACGCTACAAATTGTCTGCATTAAAAATAAATACTCTGCTAAAACAGTGAATTTGTGTTTTTAAAACAGTGAATCACTGCTGTGACAGATTTCCTAACCTGAATAGTTGTCGACTTTAATGATTAATATCTCAATTCCCAGGGCAGAACGACACTTTTTTTCTTGTTAAATCTTTATTTTTACGCGAAAACGCACTGATTGAGTGCATTTTTATCAAAATTTGAGGCGGCCGGGATCTTCTAAACATTTGCTATAATCTTAAATGACGTTAAATGACAGCTCTGTATCGTTCGGATGCGTCCAGAATTAATGGCTGCGTTCAGCAGAACGTTTGTTTTACAACTGTTGGAAGTTTCCTTCCCGCTGATTGGATCATACTTTTAGATCTAGAAGAATGGTCCTATCTCAGCAGACAATCATAAAACGGTTGCAAAACTGTTGAGTCTGCTGAACGCAGCCAATTTTTGGCACTCGGTTTGCTCGAAAATCACGTGATCAAGCTCACCATCTGCTAGCTCGCATCTCAGATTTACATTGCCGAACGCAGCTTATATAGAGCGACAGAGAGGACTAATGAAGCGCAAGAGTGGGGGAAGTTATCCGTCGCCACTTTTTGCCTCACCCACACTACCGCTATTGGCATGAGTTGATCCTCCTTAGTTCTAGTCTTCTTGCTAAAAATATAGACAAAACAGATACAAGAGCTCAATGAGCGGTCGCACTGAATGCACCCAATGATGACAATTATTACGTTTACACCATGATGTAATAAAGAAGGTGTGTTCCTATTATGGTTACTTTTTCGTCCTGATTTGCGCAGGTATGGCACTCGGTTTGCTCGAAAATCACGTGATCAAGCTCACCATCTGCTAGCTCGCATCTCAGATTTACATTGCCGAACGCAGCTTATATAGAGCGACAGAGAGGACTAATGAAGCGCAAGAGTGGGGGAAGTTATCCGTCGCCACTTTTTGCCTCACCCACACTACCGCTATTGGCATGAGTTGATCCTCCTTAGTTCTAGTCTTCTTGGTAAAAATATAGACAAAACAGATACAAGAGCTCAATGAGCGGTCGCACTGAATGCACCCAATGATGACAATTATTACGTTTACACCATGATGTAATAAAGAAGGTGTGTTCCTATTATGGTTACTTTTTCGTCCTGATTTGCGCAGGTCTCAACTGTCGGCCATATTTGATTTATGTGTGTGTATTGGTGTACATATATAGTTCAGTGTGTTTGTGTATATGGGGAAAGTCATGATAAGGTTATTTTCAGTTATTTTCACGTGTTTACAACAGTGCGATCACTTTTAAGCCGTTGGAATATCAAAAAAATTAATGACAATGCCGTTGTGTGCCATGAAAGGGTGTAAAAACCGTTCTGGAAAAGGAAAAAGGAATATCCTTTTTCTTCTTTTCCAAAAAAAAGAGAAATATGTGAGAAGTGGATACAGGCGTGTGGAAGGAAAATTGGAGAAATTAAGGAGAAGAATGGTATGTACTGTAATGTTAATATAATTTACTTGCCAGTTTATCTTCTTATTATTAAATAATAACGAAATATATTTATTTATTTATTATTTTAAATGTGTAAAAGATTGTATAACGAACTATGTTTATTCAATATCAAAAAAGTATGGTCTATATCAATGTACGTTACCTTTCTTTTATTTATTTATTATTTATTGTAAATATCATACGCGTTGAACATATTTGGTTTAAAGGAGTTCTTAAACGTTAGAAAATATTGAGAACAAGTCGTACTTAAATATTGTTTATACATCAGAATACAGTATTTTCAGTTATTACAATTGCATACAAAATTTTAAACAAAAAACCAATGCATTCAAATAATTATGAAATTTATTTATGCAGCTCGTGTATGCTCAGCTCATTTTGACGAGTTGTGCTACAGAAAGGTGTCCTTCGTAGACGAGTTAGCAGGAACACCAAGGAATTCTCGGCCACTCAATCGAGATGCTGTACCGTATACATTTCCAGGGAACTGTGGTAATATACGAATTTTATTTTATACATTCACAACTTTCGGCAGCATATTCATGACTTTTATTCATGTATTTATTGTTTTATTCATGAAATGAAATGAAATGCAATTTACGTACTATTACACTTTATGTAATATTTAGTTTTCGATTGACAATTCATATTTCAATAATTACTTTTAGTGCCTGACGCTACAGACCTGATGCCGAAAGCTAGAGTGACCTGTGAAGATCCTGTGACATTACTTGATATCGCTGGTAAGTGTACAAAAATTTTTTTTGTCTTGTGTACACATTTTAGAATATCATGTCATATTTTGTATTCTCATATAATAATTTATACTTTGATAGTATATTGCAATTTAAAGTTCGAATATTATTTATTTTATTTTCATTTTTCCTTACAGTGATGCCAAATGCAAAGGATACTCCTGCTCCAATTTGCTCAAATATTGAATGTATTTCAGTAAAGAAGGCATTAACCATCGAAAATCGCAACCTGCGCCAACAGTTGAAGCGGTGTAATAGATTGGCAGAAAGAAAATGTCGTAACAAGGTGCAAAGTTTACTTGGAAAAGTATTTAGTCCAGGTCAAGTTAAACTTTTGCTTAACCTGAACCAAAAAAAGACCCGTTGGTCTGCAGAAGATATTGCAGAAGCTATTTCTCTTCGTAGCATAAGCCCAAAAGCTTATAGGTATTGGAGAGAGAAAAAAAAATTGCCGCTCCCAGGACTGTCAACCCTGAGAAAGTGGGTCGCAACATTCGACGTCAATGAGGGTGTCCTGCATGATGTCATTGCTGTAATGAAAAGTAAAGGCCAAAATATGACTGACATGGAGAAAGTAACAGTCCTTTGCTTTGATGAAATTCATTTAGCGAATCGTGTAGCAATCGAAAGGAAACAAGAGCGTGTCATTGGACCGAATAAAAAGTGCCAGGTTTTCATTGCTAGAGGATTATTTTCTAAATGGAAGCAGCCGATCTACTATGACTTTGATAAGAAAGTAACGACAGATATTCTCTTCGATATTTTGCGAAATTGAAAAATAGAATGACTGTGATTGTAACCAATTTCGTAACATCGATGTTATTACTTCGGCGTAAATCGAACCGTGTAAACGTAGTCGTTGGTCGCGTTCAGCAGACTCAAC